GTGTGTCTGTGTGAGGATAGAGCGGGAAGGGGATGAGACTGATGAGTGAATGTGTGAAATCAAGGCAAGAAGCAGCAGGTAGATAAAAACAGGCAAACAGATCTGGGAAAGAGCAGTCAGATGAAGGAATCAGGAAAGCACTTGAACGTAATGAGGAAAAGCAAATGAAGCAGGATAACATTGCTAAAATAGGAGTATTAGAAGACCCGGGTAACTCGGTGTGTGAACGTGTGGGTGTTTACATGCTGTAATGATAGTCTCAACATTTTCAAGGGCGTTATCTCATGCAGTCTTCATGATAACCCTGTTATGTTTATATAACAAGTATTCCTATTCTTCACTCTTTAAGAAAAATAGGAATGGGGAGATTACTTGATTTTCCAAGGTCACACAAGTAAGTAACTTTGTTAATAATCATCCATATTACCCAGCACAGTAACTACTTTTGTCTCAGTTTCTTCATTTATAAGATTTGACTAATAATTAAATGTTTTTCATATTTTGAAAAAATAATGCCTATAAAACACTCAGAATGGTGCTTGGCACATGGGTAAATGCCAGTAACTCCTGAATGTTGCTGTTATTTCTTTGAGAGCTGTAATTTGAATAATTTGACATTCAGCAAATTTATTTTCTACTGTAATATATTACATCTTTTATAATGTAAGTGGACTGATTACACATGTATATTTCCACATGGGTTTATTTCCAGAATGATTTGAACCCATGTGAAGTGTTTCTTTACTCAACCAACAGAATTGCCAAATGTTGGGAGATTCTACATCGCTTGTGTTATTATATATTAGTTTTTAACCAGAAATCCCTTGTTACCTTTTGTGCAACAAATCTACTTTCATATTTTTGTCCCTGCTTGTTAAAAAAGGTAGATAAAAATCTCAAAATAATCATGACATCTACAACTACTTTATATTCCTTATATATCATATATGTTTTGTATTTTCTTTTACATTGTTACTTCTACTGACAGAGCTTCTTTTAAAATTTGGATTTTTACAAATGAACATTTAGTAGATAAGCAGTGGCCACATCTAATAAATTTCTTTTCTAAATACACAATGGGTACATCTAATATAATGAGATTTTTATCTGTTTATAATATTTATTTATTTTACGTTTTTGCCAAAGACATGTATGTTTGCCAGAGTGTGACAGAGAGAGGGAAAGTGAGAAATCACCCCCCCAGGGATGATGGCCATGCTGCAGTTCCTTCTCCATTCTCCTCTTGGAATTTTGGGCATAGATGCGCACACACACCCAGTGTGATTTTCAGGTTGCTAGGTCTGGGACTTGAACCATGGTCAGCTGTGTGGGAGTCCAGTGCCTTAAACATTACATCACCTGCTGGCCCCAACAAATTTATTTTTAATGATCTGTGTAGTTAGTTTTTTAGTCCAGAAAGTGTTATTCTGAAAATTGCTTGTGACTGCAAGAGATATTTCCAACTATTTTGGCTATAGTGTAAAAATTTGGTTCTTTCCTCAGACTCCTGTTGCAAGTGTATCTGTAGCATTTTCTACATAGTCACTCTCTGATTTCTTTATGTTTAGAGAAATTATTATAAGATCTTTAACAACTTTGTCTTTGTTCTATGATAAAACAGCAGATAATCATTATTCTTGTCCAGACAAAATTTATTTATTTATTTATTTATTTTTTGATTCCTTTTTTTTTTTTTGAGAGAGGTTTTCGCTATAGGACGTGTGCGCTCGCCAGACAGACAGAGAGAGACATAGAGACAGAAAGCGAGAAATCACCCCCCAGAGGGGATGGTCACTCCGCAATCCCTTCTCCTCCATTCTCCTCTCGGGATCTTGGGCACGCACGCACACGCACCCGGTGTGAGTTTTAAGCCACCGGGTCCGGGATGAGAAC